CACATTTTTGCACACAATTTCTTTGTTAAACCACCACAGCAGCCCCTATATAGATGGGTTTTATGTCTACTGTGGAATATTATATCCGAAATAACAATATTTGGATAGAACAAACAGGAGGAGGCCTTGCTTGTTTCCATGACAATATCAGGTTTGTGGAGATGCAAGCTTGCACAGAGTAAGGACACATTTCTTTGGGCCTGTACAAAAGGTAGGGTTACTAGTACCTCCCAGAAGTTCACTAATCATGCCCCATGTCTTTGCCATTACCCAGCATTCCTCTGGCTTGATGCAGCAGGCCCAGACAGAGCAGGTCCAGATAGCAGTGTGCATTCTCAACAAATCTATTCGTTCTGGCCCAATGCTCCACTGCAGCTGCTTATGTTGGGATAGTGAAGGTAATTCAACAATACAGGAGAGAGTCGACAGGGTTACGAGGTGCCTTTTTATGATGTAGTAGCAGTAAACAACATTATCTCCACGTAAAGCATGAAACCATAAGAAAATGTATCTAAACTTGTAAAGCTACTACTTTGTGAAGTTGAGTGCCACCATTCTTCTTGCTTATACAACACAACGGAAAAACAAGTGTATTTCAAAAACAAGGGAAATGAGCTAAATAACATCAAAGTATGTTAGCTAAAATGTCATCCATGGAGATAGATAAGTTTAATGGCATATAGCGGAACATTCCAGACAACCAGGTGGCAGACCCTCCACCAAAAAACTTACACAGTGCCTGTTTAAGCATAGTGCCTCTGGTAACGTTTAGCCAACATGCCAAGATTTGAGCAAATTAGCTCACTTAAAATCAAAATGTGAACTAAACTGAACTTAACAACCATGGATCAGACATCTTAAATGATTAGACTCAAAGAATTGCAATATGTTGTGATGCTATAATCACAACTTTGAAAATTTAGATTTTTAGCAAGACACACCAACTGGTCTGGAACAACAAAATTAAAGACAGCATTTTGTACCATCAAATGAAGCGATCACATTAGCAACAAGCTTTTTTTTCTACTTTAAAACAGTGTTCAATCTTCATGGGAAAAAATAGTGTTCATTCATTTTTGCAACAGTAAAATCATATTGAGACATGGGTGACTGAATAGGATGTCATTGATTTTTCATTTTGCACAGAAAACCCAAAAGCGCCGTTTTACAACGACATCTTTGTGGATCTGAAACTGTCAGATAGGGGCATAATACAAGAGGTTTTTACAGCAGCAGTGTCCCTGAGGAAAGCAGGAGAAATCTGTACAGCCTGTCACTCATTTTGATAATTTACACCTGTCCTTTCACTGCCAAGGCATAAAATCATATTCTCAGTAGAAGGGCCTTGTGTAATATCTCTGTCTGTAGGTTTGAGATGAAAACTACAAGATGGATGAGTGGGACAAGGCGAATGTGTACTTGTCTATTTCAAAGTTAAGACCAGGTAATGAAATACTAACAGTGGCAACAGTTCAAACCAAAGTACTGAAGTTGTTTGAAGAAGGTCCCTGCATGACAGTTTTTGCAAAATATATTTTACTGCATAATCTAAAGTCAAACAAAAATAGCATATGATGGTAGCTTGGTGGCTTGTTCAGTACACTAGAATGGATGACTTGCAAGCAGGGTTTGACAACAACCTGTGCATGGTAAAATGCAGGGGGAAAAAAGGGAATATCTCCTGAGTTAACAACATATTATGTATACATAGTATGTACAGTAGTATAGGTCTGATATGATACAAATAAACAAATTTTTTTCTTCATTTTAAAAGTTTACACATTTAAATTCAATGTTATTTTTTTAGAAAAAATAATAACAAATTCAGAGCATAAACAACAGACATTTAATTATTGCTATTAAACACTAAAAATTGAAAATTTTACAGATGTACAGACTTAAAATCTGAACTCTGCTTCAAACTACATGCTTTAACAGACAGAAGATTGTCTGCAGATTTCTTGGTCAGAAAAACCTTAACACTGACTGATAGAAATGACTGAATTCATGTTCAGTTAATTGTACAACAACATACAATAAGCACTGGTTAATTGCTGTAACAAATGAGTTCATTTCCACTCCAACTATGCAAGCCCAAACGTAATATAGTGTCTATACGCAATCTTACTACAATCATTGCATAAGAACATCACTATGTTACAAATGTTATTGTTATAAAAAAGAGGACATGACCTTACCTATGAGGTGTATGTTTAGGTATGTGCATGTTGCCCCATAGTTAAGACTGCATAGCATTACACACAGAAGACACATTGCACTGTTTTCCTAGATTACACACTTACATGTCAGAGAATCTAATCAGAAATGTCTGGCAAATCTTATTTGGTCCCTGCAGCATAACCATAACATTACTTTTAGTTTCGAATGTTTTACATGCCAGCTAAGACAAACTGCCTATATAAATACTACCAGAATATGCCAGAATCTTCACATTTATTGGAAAGAAATAGGACCAAGTATCTCCAACCAAAGTTAAACAAAACTTTGACTACAGTGACATAATTAATGACAGTTAATCCATTATCACAAGTTATATCCCATCTGTCTAAAGTTAAGGAGGATATACATGGTCTTTTGTGAAACTCATCCAAGTATGACACAGAACAAATCAGAGGAACTAAAGGACTAGACTTAAAAAGGGCTGTCACAATAGCTACTATATTGCTTTATCATTCAATATGTGATAGATAAAATAATAATTTTTAGGGTCAATATTTGTCATGGGTACTTTTTCTTTGCTCTTGTGAGGACATTTGTTTTATTTTCTTGCACTGTGGTAGGATTGAAAGGAGCTGAAAAATGTTGAATAAATGATTTCAACGACTCATTACAAGTACAAACTATCTACAAATGTGTTTCTTTCTGCCATTTATCTATTGCTGCTCATACACTTAATAATATTGTTCATTCCATATAATAGTTTATTGTCTATATTTACTTCAGCAATATATCGCACATATATCGGAAAATGTTTGCTCCAGTAATGAGGAGATACGATCCTGGAGACAAGAGGAGTAAGGTATAGTCTGACTCTGACCTACGGGGAAATAAACATTATCCTTCAAGAGAACTTGAAAGAATGCAGCAAACCTTTTTCACAGGACCTTTAGTCACCCATGATCTCATCCTTCTGGACTCTGTAATTATGCACAGCAGCTTTAACAGAAAATGGATGTAGTTTTAGAAATCAATACTGAAGATCAAGTACACCAAAAAGACACATTATGTTATACTTTGAAGAATTTAATAGTGATACTGTTACATAATATTGTTGACAACTAAAAACTGTAATACAGGAAAAAGGATAAACACATTTTGTATATTTGTAATTTTGTGAGCCATCCTGTCTCACGAGCTTCAACTCTGTCACCAACATTTGTGCTTGAATCAGCAGTATCATTGTTGACACATCAACCCACACATTCTTGTCAAGTCAACCTAAAGTCTTTATGTTGGAAATTGTTACATGTCATAAAAAATGAATATTTGTAAAACTGCAACATAAATTAGAAAATATTCATGAGAAGTCAACAATTGGCCTATAATAAGCAATAATAAAAAAAATAGGGTTGGGTCAGTTTGAAGAGTCACAATTAGACTGTATTATATTTAGCACACATTTACCTCTGCAAACAAGAAAATACCCTGCCCTGTCATGTAAAAACAGCTGTAGTTTTTAACTCTTGAAAAGGGAGATGGGATTCTTGTAGAAGTTTAGGAGTTCATATTTTCAGTTTTGTCTCTAATATTGATGGCTAAAAAAGTAACAGAGCAGAAGTTTATCATTAAAAACATAAATTGCAAATCTAATTGCAATGCTTGTGAGAAGCGCGCACACACACACAAAATAAAGATATTTTTTAGAATCATACAATAATATTACATCCCTGTTTCAGCACAACTGAGTTACCAACCCTAACATAATAATACAGTTATGACTAAGCAAAGATTAATGGAGACAATGATGTTCTATAAGGAGTGCCTATGTGTACAGTAAACGAATGAGCTAATGGGTCAGAAGTGTGAAACCTAAAGATGTCAACAAACAAATACAGCCTGACAATAGAAAGTTACACCCAAATGAAAAACAGCAAACGAACACTCAACTCTAGAGAAGGGAGCTAACAGAATTAGTCACATTTTATGCCCAAAATGCAAAACTTTATTCTATGTTGTTTCTATATTGTTTCTATTTTGTTTTCATGTGGTTTCTATGTTGTTTCTATAGTAGATTTGAAATGACATTTAAGAAATGATAAATTAAGAAACTGGTCAGTTTTACTCATAGAAAAAATAGTCATTTAACACATGAGGTAGTCAGGGTGTGTCATATCCTCCAGGGTGGAACTTTAACACAAAGCAGGAGGTAGTTGATAGGGGGACATTGTATATTGTATTAGTAACTATATCGGCTAAGACACAATGCATTCTGTAGAAGACTTAAAAACCTCATATCACAATTTAGAAAGTTAGCAATCACTTCAAGACAACAGAAGCCAGAAAACATCAATTCCTTCAACTACACATTCAACTATACAAAGAATCAAAGACAAAATACCCCAAAGAAAAAAAATACAGTGATAGAAAATACTAACATTGTTAAATATATAATAGAAAAGCTGCTTGTGGCCTCCCTGAAACAGTAAAAGCGAGAGAGACAACTATCACACATTTCATTGCTAATAATAGCCGCATCACTGATAACATAACTCAATGGTCATGCTGCTAAGAATAAGCAACATGTAGCCACCGTTTTGATAGATAAAATAAAGCAAATTACAAATGAGCAAGCATCATTTAAAGTGTGAGGACTTCATTCATATTAATCTGATAAAAGTGATAGTAAACGATGAGCGGTCAGTCAGGGTCCAATGGTCGCTTGCTTAAAACAGGTGTGGTAGCGTAAAGCCGCACTATCTAATCTCAAAAGCGATCGCATGATTACAATACGCTCCGTTAAAGAGGTAAATAAGACTTACAAATGCAGGAGTGTGTTTCTTCTCCCGGTTGACACTATCTCGAGCTGTGCCGCATTAAAAGCGCATATTGAGGCATTGGGTCTCCAAAGCAAACCGCTCCTCCTGAAACAAAACCCCACCTTCCGGAAGCACAACTACACATGACAGGAAGTGACGACAAATATTTATTTATTTTTGGATTTATTAGTCTTAATTGTGCGTGTTTTTAGAATTATTATCTATTTTTTATTACTTTTAAAGGTGTTAAAATATAAATAAAATAAAAATATTACTGACATTACAATTTATTTTTAAATTGAGTATCCACCATTGTCTCAAAATAATTACAAATTCAAAATATTCTGTAATTACTTCTTATAAGCAGCCATGGGTTCCTGACTTGCAAGCATTTGGCTTCCATCATTATGTATTTTTACCTCTCAGTCTGCCATTTATGTTGGTTTTTTTAACTCTCATTTAATAAATAGGCCTGCCTTTCATACATTTTTTTGTAGTTAAACCACATTTGCCCTTGTGCGGAGGAAAACAAACGGATGTTACTAAAGAATTTTAGGCCAGACACACTCAAAAGCACAGATGAACAGTCTCCTTGTAGATTTCTGAAACACATGTGCAGCCCATGGACAATAAAGATTGATAGAAGCCCTTAATTCCAACATTTCCTTCTTTACTCCTCTATACGTCCTAATAGCAGCTCCAGATGTTTGGCATTAATGTTTGAGGCCTTGGCCCTCTCTCCATGCATGTACCACTGTGAAGACACCGCTCCACATGAAGCAGGTATTTAGAGGGAAAGTGTAACTGTAACAGAGTCACTTTTAGCATGAAGCTTGTCAGTGAAGAAAAAGTCTTAGCACTTAATTTCAACATTCTGGTTCTGGTTGATCAGTCAGAAAACTCCAAGTGGATATCATGCTGATGAACATGGTACTTTAGGGAAGGAAAAAATCTACAAATGCAAGTAATCAAGTCTTAGAAAAAGATGTGCAAACTAAGTAGAACCGTCAATATATATCAAATATTCAACATATTTAATCTAAACCGACCTATTGAACAGGGTAGAAGTAATAACACAAAGAACATCAATGAAAAAGACATGAACCTAACTTGCTATCCTTTATCTGCTTAGTGCTGTTTTTTATGACAGAGAGAAACGTACGGTATAGCGGTAAAAGTGTTTTGTGTAAAATAAAATATTTTTCACAACCCACATCACTGTACTAAAGGCACAAATCATCTTAAAATGGCGGCAACTTCCTAAATTTTACGCAAATTTAGTTGGTGATTAAATGAAAGCAGATATTCATGTTTGTTACAGCTTGGCCTAGCCTATCACAATAAAAAAAAAAGCAATATATTGTTGAAGGAAATACAGGTGCTAAACAATACTATTAAACTTAAATACTATTTAAACTAATTTATGCCTCACAGTAACTGACACAGTAACGGTGAAGCAGAATTATCCCCAAATTCCCCCACTGAGTCATAGTTGTCATTTCCTTGACCGAAAACAAAAAAAAAAATTCCCCACAAGTACAAATAACTGGGTAGACCAACCTGAACTAAAGTTACAGCTAAAAACACTAAACTAATCACACTCATACCTAGCAGCACGTGAGTATTATATGAGATTTGAGTGAGATATGATTTGAGTGCATTTAAAGTCTTATCCACCAGGTGGTGCAATAAACATCAGTGTGCCTTTAATTTTGTTGACAAAAGCATATAAACTGCTTAACACAGTATAACATATCAAATATTACATTGGCATTTTCTGTGTGTTTGGCACAAATATTTCTTATTGAACTTAGTATCACAGGGTGCACTGCTTGGTTGCACAAATATAATAAATAGGGTTTTAATCAATTCATTTCGAGTTATGTCTCTTAAAAAAGCAAAACAAATGCTACTTTGTACTGAGCTCCAAATGCCCTGGAACCAGACAGCAGGATGTCACAGACCAATAGAAGCAAATATATCATCGATGTCATCTCTCTTGTCACAGTGGCTGCTTTGAGGAATCGCCTCATCTTCTGTCCTTCTGTCCTTATGATGCCTCGATGACTTTGACTTTCGAGACTTCTTCCATTTAACTTCCCGTTTTCTTGTGCTACCAGTTCTGACATTCTTAGATTTCAATTTGGTCCTTAGAAAGTGGAATCTGGTCTGTTGAATTTTGGTTTTAAATTCAGCTAATGATCGAGGAGTCCTTCTTGGTACAGAGCTTTTTGAGCAAGCCTTAAAAATTTGTTGTCTGAAGTTATTTAGCTTCCTCTGAAAACTGAAACATAAAACATCAAATAAAAATTAGCATGCCTAGATAAGACACTGAAATAAATAAGATCGAAAGATATTGTTACTTGTGTCCTTCTAATTCCAATGATTTCATCTTCTTGCACTTCAATCGCAAATAGTTAAACAAACGTCCTTTCTTTCCCATCTGCTTCAGTTTACACCATTGGACCATTTTTTCAAGATGGATGTCTATGTCACCAAATGATGAAGATTTTTTAACATTATTCCTCAGTATTTTCGTCTTTGCAGCGAGATCAGTATTTTTAGGTTTGTGCTCTGGCTGAGATTTCTGTAAAAAAAGAAACAGTTTTTTGTATTCCACCCACGTTACTCAAACATCCCTTTCAATTTGAAGTGCATTATTGATGGCTAAATAAATGGACCCAGAGGTGGCAAGCAACTTTAATAGCCAAAGCAAAGTCCTGCCCATGACCAAAATGGGAAAATACAATTCAGGGAGCAGGAATTATTGAGGCAACCATTTAATATTGAGCTATTACCTATGATCGTCACATAAATAAAATAGGATCTCTGTTTTCAACTTACCTTGGTGAATGTCTTGAAGATACAGACAAAAGGCTTCAAGTCAGTGTTATCATTGATATCTAGAAAAAGATATGATTCTATTAAAAAATTACCAACAAAACACTCACTAATTCACCATGCTAAAAGCAGTAAAATATTAATGCACCTCTTTTAATAGACACGCCCAGATCTTCTTTAACCTTTTTGGCTGTTTGATTATTCTGTCTAGGTTTAGTCAATAAATCACCCCTTTGCAGCCTAGCTTTACATGTTTGGTCATGTAATAAGGTAGGATCCAATAACTCAGACATATTTGGGGGTAAGGAGCTTTTGAGGAATGGCATAGGTTTTGTTTTGGCCACTTCACTGCAAAGGCAAAGCATCTTCTCGTATAAAGTGGACAGGCTCACCAAGACACCACGGAAAATTACCCTAGAAAACAAAACAGAAAAGAGATGTCAGATTTGTATTTGAATCTCTTGTTTCAGTGCTGGTTAATATAAAAATTACAACTTACCACAGCCGACTGAGCATACTGGTCATCACCATATTCAAAACGATAAATTCTTCCCATTTCATCTGCTGATTGCACAGACTAAATGGCAGGTTAAAGGAAAATTTGCTAGATACATGAATATGGAAAAATATATATAAAATACTGATAAAGCCTGAAGATCCAGATGAACAATAAAAGGATGGTCAAAATTCTACACTGTTCACTCTTTGTTCTCTTGGGCAAGACACTCACGCTCGTTACAGTGGTGCATTAATGTGCAAGGGAGCCTAAGAGTGCAGTTTCTTTGGATGTGCAAATTCACATGTTGCAAAAATACAATAAAACTAAATAAATTACATAAATAGCAAGATAAGCAAAGTTTTACCATCACTCCAAGATTGGCATAAAGGATACAGAAAAGCTCTGCTGCAACGTTGTAGAGTGCGATTGATGAGATTAGCAGCTCCAAGTATTTTGAGGCACAGCCACTCCAACATGGGCTGACTGGGGACAGTACACTCCCCAGTCTTTTTACCAACATTTCTGAAGACCCATAACATACAAAAACATGTTAGAGAAATTATAAATTATACCATATTCAAACATAAAATGATAACACTTCATAGCCATGGAGACTAACATTCTCATATCATATCAGTGGTCCAACAGCAGTTTTCAACAACATCTTGTTTACAATTTGAACATGGTTTACTCAATCCTCGCAACAGTACAGTACAATAGCTGTATAGCAAGATGGTTGTTGAAGTTTGTAGTTGTCAGTTATCGTCATTTCAGTAATCATCAGTAGTAGCTAAATGTCTGAACAAGATTCCCATGTTTATATAGCATTAGTCCACATGCATTTATAGACCATCATCCCTAGAAAGTAACACACCTTTGAACCTTGGTTGGACACAGATCAGACAGCTCCTGAAGAGCTTCCACCAGCTTCATGTTCTTCAGTCTGTTCACGCATTGTTCAACCTGCAAGAATGTGCCATTTATATTCAACGTATCTTCATTAATGCTCCTTAGAGGGTTGAGTAATTGATGTCGAGTCCCCAAACCTGTTGTAAGCCTTTGTAGGACTTGTTTCCCCTGTAACTGTTGTTCAAGATGTAGAGCAGCTCGTAAAGGACACGTATTTCCGTCTGAAGTGTCTCACTGTCGATAAGTTTGAGCACAGCTTCGTTTCCCAATAAGACATTTTTAACAAGAACATCTGAGGGAAAACAATGCATGTGTTAGGAGCATGTAACACACCCACGTGGGTAAGATAGCAGCCGTTTTAAAGCATAAATTAACACAGCATCGCCTATGTGCTGTAACAAAGTAACTATCCAACACATTACATACCTGTTTCTGATGTAAAACTTATACGAACGCTAGAAACAACTCCTGGAAAGGGAATGTTTACTCTATTCCATAGTTCCTCGGCCATGATTTTCTGTGGAGTCAAAGCGGAAGTACGGTGAGCCAATAGAATTCATGTATTTAGCCACGTGATCATGCGCGCTTGCCCAATTAAAGGAACAGGGACCCCTATTTCTATCGGGGCTTACTGGGTCCTATAATAGTATTTTTAATCGATGTTTGTATGTGCTACAAATATCAAAACCACAACAAAATATGAATAGACAGCACACTGTAAGACATTATGACCAAATAGTCTTTATTCAAGTGAAATATATAAAAATACAAATATAAAAATATGCACTTCTATCTCACTACTTGCTTACAAATCCATGCGATGACATATGAGTTGACTTCCTCCATCACAGAATCCTCAGACCTCCCTTTTACAGCGAGTCCATGGCTGCCTCCATTCAGCCACATGACATCGACCTGTGCCTTCATGTCCTCCACTGTTTTGTTCATAAGATCCTGGAGGATAAGAGACAAGGTAATGGTATGGGAATGTTATAGGATATTGCATCATTGTGACATTATGTTTTCATCCATCTCAAATGATACCTATCAAAAAAAGCATTATTTAGAATCAGACAGTTATAAAGTGAGATTAATTCAGCAAAATAAATGCAGTTTTACGATATCTGCTTACACCTGGGGCTGGGTACAGTTGGAAAGGTACCAATACAGTACCAAGTTAAAAATATTACTGACAATATTGGTATTACAAATCAAATCTCCAAGCTGAAACTTGATTTGATTAAAATGTATTAATCACACAGTCCTAATTTGCTGATAACTCACTTTATCACACATGTCATCTTGAGTCCCCGACACAAAGAGAACGGTGGTATGTTGGGGCAGTTGCCGGAGGTCCTGGCTGCGTTGGTGATAGGCATCTCTCTGTGAGGGGGGGTGCAGGGGGAAGGAGAGGCAGATAAGGCCCTGAGCTGTATCCTCTGTGCCATCACTCAGCTGTCGGAGCAGAGCCGCAGCTGCACGGGACCCCATTGACCTGCCTGTAGAGGGTCAAAACAGACTATTAGGACAAATCAGACCAGTGCTTCATCATAATACTGACATTCACAACTGAACAAATACATGTAACAAAACATGTGGAGATGGATATATATATATATATATATATATATATATATATATATATATATATATATAGCTGTATGTTAAAGCAGACCTGTTATGTAAAATAGACTTTTCAGAGCTTTTAACCATGTTATAGTTGGCTCCCCTCTCAAAGTTTTGTTTTTGGAGTGATTTGTGCAAGTATTCTTTAATAGCTATTTTCAAGACACCATATTGTCAGTCAATCCTCGTTTTCACTGCTACTGGTATATGCCCACTCAATACTTCATTCTTTGTTCAAATATTTGCTTCAGTATTTGTGAGTTGACTTTTTTTTCTTTTTTGTATAATTAATAGAATATCTGTGCTGATATAGACAACTTCTTTATCGTACTATTTTTATTCAATAATGTGCATACAATGTGCATGCATTTATAGGGACACTCTATTAAGCCGCCTTACCACCAAGATAGATGTGTTTTATTGTAGGAAACTCTGTCTTCAAGTAGTCCTATAAAGAGACATATAATGAACAAGGAGTAAATCACATTTTAATTTAAAATGAAGGTACCACCATTATTCCTTACCCAAACAGCATGATAGGCCTTTACTCTATAAACCAGATTGAGTCCTTTACATGTGAATCGCAGAGAGAGGAAGCCCTTAGCGGCTAAAGCATGAGCGAGAGAAACCAGCTGTCTGAAGTTCATGTCTCCTCCGGCTCCGTGGGTTAAAATGACCCCAGTATCAGCCCCATCCTTCACTGGAACAGTGGATCTACACAGCACGGCCACAAGCTTCTTGGTCCCAAATGGGATCTGTAGATTTTCCTGAGAAAATGGTACATTTCAAAGTTGATTGACATATTTATTGTCACAGTGAAAACACAGGTTCAGTTATGCAATTCAGTTCTTAGTGGCTTTCTTCCCTTCACAATAATGAATAGATTAGTATTCATTAGTAGAATAGTTCATTTACAAACAAATAAACCACTATAATCTTGCTAGTGCAAGGTAAAACTATGAAGAATTTATTTCTGGAAAGAATTCCCATATTTCACACAGTCACTTAAATCGTTTTAATGACCAAATAAAAAATTGTAACTTTTTGCACAGGGTCCAATTATTAAAACAGAAGAAAAAGGTAACACCCAAATGGTAAAACGACATTAACAATTTATATAACTGCGTTAAACGATGCATGGGCTACTGCTCATTAACTACTTGTACCGCTACGTGTCAGCAACAGTTTTAAAAAGCTGTATTACCTCAGTAAACAGCTGTGCATCCATGCCTGGTTCATGCTCTCCATTCATTTCCGTCAACAATGTTCTTTTGAGACGTGAAGAATGCACAACTGTACACGACTGCCACATACTGGACAGGAATAAACCCTACAGTAGAATGTGTTCATATGTTATAATAGAATGATGTATACTCTAATGGCAACTTAACATGCACAAATACATAGAAATACCGTTGTGGAATATGATAATATAATTAAATGTAATATGAGTCATTAATATGACCAGGTTCAAAACCTCATGAATAACCTTTTTTCCATTATGGCAAGATACTCACACACAGACACAATCTGTACAAAATATTTTAATGTAAAAATCCTACATAATTATATAAACCCACACATACAAATTCAAAGTCAATTTTGGTAATTTTTTGGCATCAGCAATACATTAACATTCTTCTACTGTATTGGGTCCGTCAAAGTTCATCCTTTGCCTTTTCATCTTTTGCCTGAAAAATCAGAAAATTACTATGGACAGATGAAGACAAAAAAATTCATTCAATTCAAAATTGCAACGTTCTCATTTAAGGAAGCACAAGAAGCGCAATATTACACTACATACACTAGATGGAGCCAGAGACTGTAGTTGAATTTGTAAATAATGTTAGGCAAAAAAACATCCATCAACAGACCAGACTGAGGGATTTATATCTGAAAATTTGAAATTCATTTAACCATTTATCTATAAACTCAAATCAATGAAGGAAGACATTAACACTGACATATTGTATTAACTCTTCCTGAACAATAAAGAGGTAAAATGGGAGTACATCTTTTTGGTGGTAAACATACCTTTGTTTTTAGTCTCTTCCTCTGACAGTTACAGGGAAACAGGTCATCAGAGGGATGCTCCACAAGCTCCATGCCTTTACGCACTGTTGGTTCTGTAACCTGAAGTGCAGCATATTTCTATCCCAAAAGAAACAAAAATTGTATTAAAGGATATTATAAACAAATAAATCCACTGCAACAGCAAATGTACAAATCCTAAAGGTATAAACATAACCTGGAAGAGTTTATAGTAGTAACAAAATATCATGTCTCCCATAAGGTGACTCCGGGCAAACTGCTGCCCTTTCTGTCCAATACTTCTAGCCTGGAAAACAAGAAACAGCACATATACCTGTAAATCACTTTACAATAGTAAAAAAAATACTTGTTACTCCACAAACAAAAAAGCTGGTTCACAAGTTCAAGCAACAATCATTTACATCTGTACCGCACTAGTATGAACATAAGCAAGTAAAGTGACTAAAGAGAAGACACGAGAAAACTTAATGGATATCACAGTGAGGATAGTCACTAAAGAAACTCTTAAACAATGTGTAAATAGAAAGAAAAAAAGTGGGAATGCAATCCATTTTTAAAATAATTTTGACCAATCCTGACTTGATTTAATTTTGTCTTATTAAAATCAAATTATTATCTCTTCAAATATATATTTTTTATTGCATAAAAATGCAGACTTTCAATTAAGCACAAAATTCAATTTTTTTTCCCCCATTAAAGTCTTCTCCAAATTACATGCTTTTATTAAGAGGACTGGCCATAGACTTCTCAGTTAACAAGACCGAAGGTGATCACTGATGATTATAAATGACTAAATCTTGATCTCTTTGATAATAATAATAATTTCAGAGCACTTTTTTACAAGAAATAATAACCTTAGCAAAAGTAACAAATACAAAAATAGCATCGTAATACTTGTTCATCATGGTCTTTGGCCCATTGAATCTTGTCCAGGAGGTCGCTCAGGTCGGCTCTGATGGGGATGTAGTGTTCCCAGGGCTGGAGCTGGCTGTAGAAATGCTCATAGTATCCAGAGTCTTGCTTCAGCACCACACTGTCCCCAGCCAGAAGGTAAGGCATCCGATAGGCCGCCACAGTGCCATCAATGTTTATCTGGTATTTATACTACAAAAAGAGGGAAGGGTATGATATCTTAGTTTAATAGAAATGTAATTTGTATAGAAACAGCTAAAACCTGCAGAATATAATCCAAATATCATGCTATATACTTGTCTTATCTTAATTTTTGGATTGTGCAAATGAGAAGTTGTGCTGTCAGTATTATTCAAAGTAACATTTTGCCCAAAGGTGAATTATGTAACTGAATATAAAAAAAGATGCATAGAATTGTACGTTGTGAACAATGACCTGGATAAAAATATAACAAAAGCCTTTCCAGATCAATTTACATTTTTTTTGTTAATTTACACACGTGTATTCAGTCTGAGACATTGGTATTGCATAAAACATATTCATAACATTGCCATTCAAGCTGCATTCTCTTCACTCACCTTGAAAAAGTCAAAGAAGGAGACGTGTTTGACAAGAGGCCCATAGAGGCTCTCATCATGTTTGAAGAAGAAGAAGTTGGTGAAGGCGGCATCGATGACAGAGGGGTGGGCTCTGGACAGTTTGACCAGCTCCAGTCTCTCCTGACGACTGTCGCGCCCCCTCCAAAATGCTGTGGAGTTTTTCTGAGGCCACGGGGGGCCAGTGTTTGCCTGCACTGACAGCATGTCTAGGCTCACTCTGGGGATTAGAGAACAGACAATAATGTCAGAAAAAAGGTATAGCACTGTTTATCAGTTAGTTTTTTTATGTTTTTCTAAGATAAGATAGATCAGTGGCTTTTTGTCTTGACAACCACCTAAATCTTCTCTAAAATTGCAAGTACCCCCAAACGCAGGTCTTAATATAATAATTCTGTTTTTGTACTATGTACTTAGTACTATGTTTTTGTTTGGTGTATACCACCATCCAACATAACGTTACGAATAACTGTCTTACCAAATAAACACTTTCACTTTTTGTAATTTTGGCCTGTATAAACTACAGATATTATAGACAAAAATATTTCTATTCTAAAGTACATGCATGAACTCATTTCACACCATCTTGCCCCATGCACAACTAACTGCAACTTTATCAGAACCAGAAGATCTTAGAACAAGCCCAACTATGTCATTACGAAGTTTAAACCACACCACACTGTTTTGCCATTGTTCTTGCCTTGGATCACATTCGCTAATAGGGCTGGGTAATATGAAGATAAAAATGTAATTGTGATCTCATCGATGTGTCAATATGGCGTCATTCAGTCATCTGTTTAATGCACACCTATTCCCAAACACACTTTCCCCCACCCAGTAAATGTGTACATATGCAGTCATACCTCCCCATGGTCTCCAGTACAGACTCTGTGAGGTCATAGGTCGGCATTACAATGTCTCTTGTGTTGTTCGAGCCACACCAGGAGAAAATGGGATGGATTTTGTCTGTGGATTTCCTCTTCTCTAATGGCCAGTCCCCAAGATTTACAAAAAACTCAATATCTGAAAGCTGTACCTGGATCCAACAGACAAATAAAAACTGGTGTTAAAAGAAAAAAAGGTTGTGATCATGTGATGCCATAACTTTTAAAGAGCCTTTAAAATGAAAGCTAAAAAAATGTATGGTTGAAGGCGCCTTTTATCTGTTCAATTGCAAGGTGCATGGCTTAAAAGTTCTGCTATTACTGGCACAAGTAAGAACATATGACAAAAAGTGAAACATCTTTTCTGTCAGTAAAAAGGGTAATAAATCATAGAAGGAAAATGGTTGTCAGTTTTGAGCCATAAGATTTATATATCACAGTTGTGGATAGCCAAGACTGAAATATAAGCCTGTACCTTTTGTCTGATTGTTGTTGTTTTTTTTAATCACCAAGTACTAAACAGAATATAAACCTTATACAAAAAAAAAATGCTTGCATTATCTCACTCTATCCTTAAAGGTCCTATATTGCGTAAAATTGACTCTTGCAAGCTTTAATCCATGCTATAATATTGTTCCCTCCTCAGAAACATACCTGGATTTGTGTTTTGTTTCTGTCACACATGTTTGACTAACCCTGTATTATTAGTCTGTGCACATCCCCAACGTTCAAAATGCTCTGTGCCACCTTGTGATGTCATTTTCACATTCACAGCTACCTTCTACCTTTAGTTCAGAAGAGGCAATTCCAGGGCTGATAACATCCAAATCTAGAGAAGGTGTACAGAGTTTAAGAACACAGTGGAGCACTTCCTTTATTACCACCTGGCATCACATCACAAGGTAGAGCAGAGTGTTTTCTGTTTGACAGAAGATCTCAGCCTAAATATGCAGGATGTGTGTGAATGAACATGCATGAAAAAAAACACAACTCCAGGTCTGTTTTTGTTGAGAAAACAGCATTTTCAGAAAATAGCATAAAATGAGCCCTTTAAACATTTGTGAACTGCCAAAACCGAGATACAGTATTTTATTTTAATAACCAAGTACTTAGAGCGAATATAAATCCATTAGAAAAACTTGTTTGCATTATCTCACCTTTCTCGTCAGTGACAGAAGAATGGCGTCCATAAAAATCCTAAATCCCACATGTTCTCCAAACGTTTTGACATAGACCTACATTCACATAAAATATGAAAAGGAGATCAGTTACATTCACATCATACTTTACTGTGGCATCACATTACAAACAACCTTTTCCTATTGTTACTTGAAGCATGGCTACATTGATTTAGTTTTTCATCAACTACTTATGTTTTGTATAGAGATAAAGAGAGGTATCATGGCATACACTTAGAACTACTATACATATAGATTACATTCATGACAGGTGAGAAATGGCTGGTAGTTCCCATTTGTGATTAGCTTCGTGTGAACATGGCTTTTGACCACACAGAGACTGATCAACTTTCAAACCAGCCCTGAACAAATGACCTACAACTACTCAGGTGTTGTGATCCTCCCCTACGGCTATAGTGTATATACTAGCGTGTAGTTATAAACACCTTCATTTACTATTGAGCAAAGTACACATTAACTATTTGAAGATAATATTATCAAATAAAAAAGAGATTAGACACAGTGCAGTCACACACAGAGTTAGTAAATGGGTTTCCAGTGACACCACATTAGGCTGGCTACACTAATTTAGTCTTTACTTTAGATAAAAGGCTGAACAACTTTGTTGCTTTTTGTTTTTTGCTGTACAAACAGGATTCAAGCCTGGAGCACATTTTAAGATGTTGCAGAAACATTCATTTGAGGAAAAATTTTACACAACACATGCATGAACAAATACACGCAAGATCCCTCAGAATGTGATTTTGTACTGAAATTTGACTATCCTGGTTGCAGAAATATTTTGCCTGTCCACTCCACTAAAAACAAAAATAGGTGCAAGGAGTGCTACCTTGTTGTCCTTGATGGTGTAGTGGCACAGGCTCTGCCTCTGTCCAAACCTCAGAGGGACCTCGTGGGCGATCAGGTCAGGGTCCACACTTTTGAACAGGGACAGGTCTTTGTCGATCTGAGCAAATGTCTCAGGGCACTGCATGTGTTTCTCCCACAGAGCTCCACTGGGCTGGGGGCAGTTACAGGCCTCGTGGTAGACTGCACCTAGGGCAGAAAATCATATCAGACAATCCACACAACAAACAATAGACACCCTTACTTTCTGTTGTATCAAACATGAAACATTATAGGGCTGTCTGGAAATCAATCCTGAAGCTAAGATTTAGAAACTGGAAAGATTCAAACTAAGTGTTTTATCTTGACATCTGAATAATACATAATATGACACCATGTAACTTTTTAAAGAATACTCAAAAGCTTATTTGAAGATGCAATTTAACTCCTACTCCTCTCCTCTCCTTCTGTCACCTGCTTGTCTCTATAGAGATGATATAGCTTTGTCTTGAGTGCTTTATACAGTGGTCTTAAACATATCTGTCTCTGTGGAGACAAACAGGGGGCACCATTCAGCCCAGTTCCAGGTCAGATCTGCACAGAGGTGAGCCTGCTAACAGCAAAATTCATTTTTAAGGGATTTTTGCAATTAAAATACATGTACTTAAAGAAACAAATAAGATACATTAAAACTAACACTAAGTACATCTCCATGGCCACAAGCAGTTGTTAGACCCTCACCAGAAAAGTTACATAGTAGACCTTTAAACATTCTTTGTATTAAAAACCCCAAACCCAGGCTCATTCGCTGTACCTTTGAGGATGTATGGAGACTTGGCAACAGGCTTGTCCTTGTGCACTATGTGGATGTGCAGTTCTGTGTAGGTGGCGTACATTCTGTATCGTACCAGAAAAGACCCATCCTGACGATCCAGAACCTGGATCCAGATCCTGGTGAACGGTTCAGAGGGAGACACGATGTTCACCTCAAAGGCCTTTTCACCGGGGGATGACGTTAAACTGAGGACAAATAAGATTTGATATTTCAGAAGATACGACCATATGATGAGGTAACTTCCCATCACAAATATTAAAATTCATAATAATCTTTAGCAAGCTATTTATTCTTTCTCAATATTGCTGTATAGTTCTAATATTGATCAAAACCTCTCTAAAACTATTCAGAACAGGTCTATATTTTTTACATTTTCAATAGTGATATACTAGTTCAAATGAACTTCAACCCTACTCCTAGTAGTTTTACTATTGATAATCCAGGTATCAAAATACTTCACAACCCTACTATCTCTACTCCTATTGGTCAGCTTTTGTATCCTAAAGTTAATAGAAAGCAAATAGTGTGAAAAGAATAGTTAAGAAATGTAGGGCAAAATTACGACAAATTTTTTGTATTTATTTTTTACTTCAATGTCCTCTCGTTTATTAGGTATGAAACATTTATAAAGAAAAGATGACCAGAAACAACACCAGCAAAATTAGCAAACTAGTACAAAGCTGGTCAAGTGAAAATGTAATAATAGCTTCAGTCCAGTATCCCAGTTTAACCACATGGGTCAGACTGGGTCTCACGTATCCTGAGTTACTACCTGCGTTTCTACAGTTACAGACAATAATAGAGGAGAAGTTGTGGAAGTCATGAATGGGAAAGTAGAAATTGAGATCCACATTGTGACGCAAAAGCATGTGTGAAAAGAACACCTCAGATAAACATGGATACTACGAGAGACAGAGGGAGAATAGACGAGGAGGAGGTTTTTGACCCAAGGCGAGCGCTTTCATGTCTGGGATCTGACTACAGACTAGGTTAAAATTACAATCATGGTTCAAGGGCATGTGAGGTAGATGCTTATTATGTAAACAGAGTATGGGAATACAGGTTAGACAGACTCTTTTGTCATATATGTTAATGTCCAGGTACTAAAACATGTATTAAAACTAGATACTAATTTTGAAGTATCTATGGAAAAAATAAAAATCACAAACATAGGACAGTTTCTAAATGATCTCGATCTATATCAGAACTTTTGAAAGAGCACATGGTAACAAGAATAATACAGCAATTTTTGTGTTGAAAATGACATTCTAATGATTTTTTAAATTATTATTATTGTATAAATCTGTGTATTAAGATTTCTATATAGTAAAACTCAATCTGTGACTCCAGACATCGCCTGTCCAGTGATGATACCAGGTTTTGATTGTATTTAGTGCTAGAAGAGAATGCCCACTTTATAGATATCAATCAATCAATCAATCAAACTTTATTTGTATAGCACTTTTCATACATTTGAAATGTAGCACAAAGTGCTTCACATGCAACAGAAAAAAATACAATATTAAAAATAACAGCAACCCCCCCATGCCATTAGATATGAGTTTAGCCTATAGATTAAAATGTAAACAGGGGATCTCCACGTCTATAACACCTCACTACCCAAACTTACTTTTTCCCCTTGCTGTCCACCGCTTGGATGTAGAAGAACCGGGCAGGCAGGACCACGTTTGGCTCCAATCCAGGACCCCACACCAAAGTTTTGGGTGCGCTCGGGGTTGGGGACCCACCTAGAGCTCCGGGGAATTTAAGTTTAACCAAACTCAGACAAAATGCTAAAAGCAGCCGTGTTAACATCATCATAGTCCAGTGTTGACTTTTCTCTTCTCAAAGGATCCTTTCTGGTCACTCCCACACAAACCTTGTCGTGCAAATGATGTGCTAAAAAGCGTGCATTTCGGGTTTACACGTCAATCCGTTGCAGCAGGCATTGAAACTAAAACATGTATGTGCCATTACCAGAGTTTTGTTGAACCTATTCCATTCCAAAGCAATCTATCTTGGCATTTTTGTCCCTTATTCCCGTTAACTACATTCTTGTGCAGGGACGTGAGCACATCTGTTCAATGACGGAGGGGCGGAACGGGAACGTCACGTGCGTCTTTCTGATTGGTTGCACTTTCTTCAACTCTCCATCTGATTGGTTAATATAGCGTTCTATTTGTGAATGAGAAGCTGATTGAACAAAATACCGGAAGTAAAATCATTCATAGGCTTTTTCATTGAAAAAATACTGAGATTGCCTGGTACCGATATGAATTGAAAAGTATTCTGCATTATCATTCATTTATTAGTAAGCCTACTTAACTTTAATTTGTAGAGAGGAAATAAGAGAAATAAGAGAGAAGATCTAATCTGGTAGCAGATTTGTCAAAAAATAAACAAAAGCAAAAACAAAAGCATTAATCGAAAATTCTGTTTATTCAGTAATTACACCTGAAAACCTCCTAGTATGTTTTTTCTAGTATTTCAAAGGCCAGTGTTTTCCAACCAATGGGTATGTATGTATGGAGATGGAGTGTATGCAAGCTTTCACCAGCAGGGGGGAGGCTGCATGAAATTATTTTAGATCTCGAAGAAGGTGCAGCTGAAAAGAACATAAATACGGTAAAATGTCACCATTAGAAAAAAAAAAAAAAAAAAAAGTGTCATCATTAGAAAAAGAAAAAAAAATATCAGAGAGACAAAGTTTATAAGTACAATGGGCTATTCAGGTCAGGTCCTTTTATTTATTTATTTATTTTTAAAATGACAGTCAGCTATCCCCTCTTATGTGAATTATTAGACAGATTAAGTTGCCGTTGTTATTCATGCTTTGACCATTGGGATTGAGTAACAAGCATTTATGCCAATAGTGTGATGATAAGAGTAGGCCCTTTTACTACTACTAAATCAATAATATATCTATAAGCCTAGTAATAATAAAACAGAGACGCAAGCTGTGTACATCAATCAATGTTTATTTCGGTTTGCGTTTGCATCAACATATTTTCATTTATTTTTTAAAGTTCTAATACACTTGTATAATATCAATAAGAACAAAAAGTGGTAGAATCCATTGAAATAAGACAAACTTTGCTGCCATCGTTGAGAAAACCAGAGAAAGATATAGATTTTTGTTTTTTTAGGTAACTATCTACGCTGTGAAGAACTACGGTCCAGTGATTAGACAGAGCCAGAATACCAGATACAGTACCAAGTAACAGGTACAACATACAGAGAAAAATAGCCCAACAAGATCTTAATCCTTGCGTTTTTTTTAAATTTCCCTTATGATTCGAACTGTACAATTAATATAAAAAACAAAAACATACTAACAAAACACCCTGTCAGTAGAAGTCAGATTTTTTTTTTTTATAATCTTTTTTTTTATAATCTTTGTTTCAATTTTTTTGTATATTTTCTCTGCCACTGAAGAACTGCACTGAGAACAAATCCTACTGATAGTACAGATTTGGACACCTTTCAGAATGATGCAGATTCCCTTTTTAAATCAGTTGAAGACCTGAAAATGAGGATGGCAAATGGGTGATTTTTTTTGCCAAACAATGGAAAGCAGTGGTTCTTAAACTTCTACATATTTAATACAACATCAGAAATGTAAAATAACATGTTAAATAAACTAAAATCTAAATCTGGGCTTACCAATGTCTTCAAACTTGAACTAAAATGAATTACCAAGTGTAAACCAATTTGGACTTAACAGGGATAAACCAGATCAAACCCACACTGAAAATAATGATATTGTCAACATCCCAAATACTAGGAGAAAAAACTAAACCAGAACTGTAACATATTTAAAGGTACACTTTGTAAACTTTTCTGGTAGAGGGTCCATCACCTGCTTGTCTGCTTTGCCTGGAATATTCCACAGTACAGTATAAACACAGGTCTTTCTTTTTTTTTATTTTATTTTTTATTAGAGGTGTATTCCCATAAACAATATTTGTATTTATTTATTTATTTATCTAATAGGGACAGTGCATATTAATGAACATCTACAACATTGCAGTGTAAATATGCCAGATTATAGCAAGACTGCTAATTTCCATCTGTAGTCCCTTGGCAGGTAACACCACAAATTTAAACAAAGCAAAAACAAGTAACACATCTATACTAAAAGTGTCCACAAGTCTGGTTTTTCTTTAGCCACTCTTTTAAGGAGGACTTGAAGGTGGCAAGAGTTGAAGTTTCTCTTATTGATAGTGGCAGACTGTTCCAAAATTTTGTGCCTCTGACTGAGAGCACACCTTGTCCGAATGTTGTGCCTCTGACTGAGAAGCACCTTGTCCGAATGTTGTGCGTCTGTGTGGGACGTCACAGTTCCCCCGGGCTGTGGCCCTAGTTCCCATCCCACTCACAGTCTTTACTTTAATAAAATCCTGTAATGGAGGAGGGGCAAGTCCATGCAAAACTTTATAGACAAAACATCCATATTTAAAACCAATAAAATTATTAAAATTAAGCAAATTATACTTGTCTAAAATAGTGCAGTGGTGAAATGAGAATGGTTTCTTGTCCAATATTTTTATGGCTTTTTTAAAAAGTGATTCGATGGGTTTGAGTGTTGTGCCAGCAGCGAGTGACCATGTGGTTATGCAGTCGTCTATATGGGACAGAATCATGGAGTGTAAAAACATTCGTGCCGCATATAAAGTCATAAAAGGTTTTACTTGTCTAAAATTCACTAAGTTAAAATGAACAGTTTTTGTAAGGCGCTTAATGTGTTTCTTAAATGTCAATGTCGGGTCCAACGTCAGTCCCAGGTATTTAAACTCTTTGACAAGGCTGAGTTCCACGCCGTCCAGAAAGACATTGGACCGCTGTAGATCAATTGTTTTTTTGCTGAACATCATGCAGACAGTTTTCTTTATGTTAAGTTGCAAGCATGAATTCTTGACCCACTTTTGGACATGAGTCATGGCTGATGTTAACTTTTCTGAAGCTTCTTGTACAGTCTTGGCATTTGTAAAAATCACAGCATCGTCAGCATACAGCTGGACATTGACATCTGGACACATTTTGGGAAGATCATTGATGTATAAACTAAGTAGAATAGGTCCTAAAATGCTACCTTGGGGGACCCCTGTTGGACAGTGAAGGTAGGGCGATATTAATAACTGGTATTGTGGAGTCACCTGTTTGTCTCTATGATGATTGTTTAGTTTTATGCCATTTTGTGGAACATTACAGGTAAAACAACAATCTCCATGGATAACAGAACACTTCAGACCCTCTACCTGAAACTTATAAACACATATAAACCAGCTAAGACTCTGAACAAAACATTGTTTAATGGGATTTAACCTGTTTACACTAGAAACCAGATCAAACTTAAATAAGATCCTTGTGGCGGCCTATACTCATGGGTACTGTTTTCATTGTCTTCTATCTACTTTTGATCAACATTGTGGTATGAAATAGTTAAAAATAAAGAAAAACTCATATCTGAACAATCATTAGTGGTCTTGTCAACACTCTAAACGATATTAACTCCTGAGTACCACCAGAAGAATGCCCACACTCTCACATTACAAGTACCAGTACCACAGTTTGAGAACCACTGCAAATACATTATATGCATAAAGGCCTGACGTGTGAGATGTCAATAAATCGTTTGTTTTTTAGATCAAAATACAGACAGATACACAGGTACAAAGAGTCCTCCTCCACTTAAAGTTGTCATGTGACTTTGACATGTACAACACAACCACAATATGATACACAACCAATGTATCATGAAACATACAAGAGCCCTCCAGCTGAGAGGCCAGAAACCATCAAATATAGAAGTGACTGACGAGGGAATTAGTTCATAGTCATCAAGAACAATACTGAACAAAAACAAAATCACCTTCGTGTTGAAATTGTTACAAATGTCATACACATGTACATTAGTTTCTTCACTGACTCACAACCTGAAATAGCACTGAAAAAATATGTTTATTTTACCGTATCACAAAAAGTCACATGGGACTTTGAACAGATGACGCCAGATCCTATTTGTAGTCCTTCACATTGACAATCAATTAGATAGCACTTGTGTTCAAAGAGGAGAGGAGGAGCTATTTTCTATATTGGTCAATAATAGCATACAGAAAATCATTAAAAACAGCAAGATCAGAAGATGTAAGAGTTTGGTTTTACTTTGTCAGAGAAAGAGTTCTACGTTAAATTTTGAGGCACTCTTTCCACGCTTTTTTACGACACAAATCTACATAAATTTGACCCAAAATGGCACACTTCAGTGCACAAGGCAGCTAAGACGCAAAACTGTCAACAACTTATTAACACATATAAAAATAAAAACTAACATCGCCCTCAATATCTTTTCAAAAGTAGTTAAATTTCATGAATGCCCTCTATGGCCAACCCAACATAACTGTTCTTATCTCCTCTGATATGTAGGTTTGTCCATCCATTTGCTTGTATGGCACATGATAAGTAGTACACTTTTACCATAAATATTAACACAAATTTCAGTCCTTCAGTCTTTCCCAAACATCTCACACCAATTAGTTTTGCCTTTGTTGAATTAAACAGGAAATGGATTATATGTTGTCATTTTATTTTATTTTAGCAGCAGCCAAAACTTGAAATTAACTGTGAAATCTGTGCCAAGTGTTAATAATACAATTGATTTGTGGTTGCACTGTGCAGCTTTCATTCATAAGAACATAGTAAAACATTAGTGCATGTAAAGCTAACTATGTGCACTATACTGTGTCAAGTAATAGAAGCTAAGAAAAATATAAATAAGAAACAAACGAGAAGATTTAAAAAAGGGAACAGAACAGAAGATTTGGCTTAATAGCAATGCGGGTATACGTTTCCCTTTTTATATATAGTTTTTTGTCAGTATTTCAAAAAATATAAAGTTTTCATAGTTTCTGTAGTTGGCTTACATTATTAAATAAAACTTCTGTATTTTCTATCTCCAGTTAAAGAAGCATGCTGCTTTTAATATGGCAGTTGGATATTTTAATAGTCATCCATTTTGTTTCATGCATTTCTTGTTGGTTACGTTTTGAGTATCTACACAGTGAGGTCCATAAACCCAAACACTCTCTCTCACACAGTTCATTCACTCATAGGACAGACTTTTCGTATATTCATAAGTCTTTTTCTTCAGTGTACCGGATGCAGCCTCCCTCAGTCCCTCTGACCGCATGTCTAGACAAGGAGCCAAGCCTGCTCTTGTCCTCCTGGTTCAATGAGACAGTGTAGTACATGGCCAGTTCAGAAGTCGTAAAAGACAAAGTCACCCGTGAGTAGTCTGTCTTTTAAGTACGTCCTCTCTGCTGAAGAGTGCAGCCTCCTGTCCCGGTGCCAAACCTGCAGTCCAAGGGCAGCACTTTCCTGCATCAGAACTGGTACCACTTCTTGTCCTTGTATTTTAGCATTATCTGAAATCGGAGGAAAAATGCATTCGATTTATGTAGTGATTTTTGGACATATCATATCCATCTATCAGGTTTCCAGTAGAGCATATTCAAGTGTACATCAATAAATGAAGCTGCTTATAAATGGTTGAATCTACGTTTCTGGGCTTAGGGGTGTCAAAATTATTTGATTGATCAATAACTGTGAGTAAGGAATAAAAATAAGCAACATTTTATGTACAATACTACTAGCACTCAAAATGTTAATTTGTTATATATAAATACATGCAGCTGACAAATATATGTGTTACAATGGTAGTGAGAAATATAGTGAGTTAAAACCAGTTATTTATATTAGTTGATTGATAAATGATTCAATTATTATAGTTATTAAAAAGTTGTGTTATCTAAAACAATCTACTGATGACTGCAGTAATGAGATTGTAAGAAAGATCAGTTTGATTAGTGATTGCACCATTGCATCATCTCTGTATGCTCTCATAAATATTGACTAGTGTATGGTAGAAATCAGAAGCAGAAGAAATACTGACAAGAGGCTAAAGTTATTTAAAATAAAATAGTAGCATAGCTGCATTCAAAGGGATGGAGAAGTAATCACATCTTTCAAATGTTCTAATCTCAACAGCTCCAGATATTTAGGTTAAAAACATAAATGTAAAACATATTCTAAAATGTATGGGTTTGTTGTAAGGCTTCTGGACATATTATTTACTTACTATCAGATATTGCAATAAGATTGTATTTATTTAATTATTTTTACCACAATAGTGCATCCTAACATGCCAGTATCAGTACCTCATGCGCGTGTTTGGAGAAGGATTCTGCACTGGTCATCATCAGAGCCGTCCTCTCCTCCAGCTCTCCCAGCCTCTGTCCTCTCTCGTCCAGAGCGATCCTGGCGCGGGCCAGGTCTCCCACCACTCCGCTGGCTGCCACCTTCATGCCCTCCATTCCCCCCTGCCCTGGGATGTGCTGTGCCAGGCTACGAGAGGCTTTCCCTGCTGCTGCCTCACCAACTGACAACGCAAGCAAGGTCAGGGTATAAAAAACACACACATACAATATCAATGTATCACGATTTTAGTTAGCTTCAGTTGTGGAAAAATAGCTATCCATGAAATTTCTAAAAAGGGTTGATCAGTAGACATAGTTAAATTTAAAGTACTGGCCATGAATAGCACCGTTCTACATATTCAAAGCTTGTAAAATCTGGTACATTATTCATTCACTTCTCAGTCACACTCAGAAAAGGTACATTGAAGAGTGACTTGCTCATGGCATATGCATTTGTAGGCATTAAATCTCCTAAACATGAACATTTCTCCCCGTTAAAGCAATTACCTGCAGGTAGTAATTACAGCAGAGACAATTATCATACATGTAAACACAATACACCTCATGCTAAATTTGGGGTCATTTGCAGTGTTTACAGTAGTAGTATTTCTCAATAGGTAAAATAATGTTGAAATCAAGTAATACTCCCATTCCTGAACATTTAGTTAGACATGGTAAAGAAAAATACGTAGATGGACGCACATAGTTCTTCTCTGTCGAAGGTATTTGTGTTTCCTCCAAAAAAGCCCTTTAGAAAGCCTCTGTTCTGTGCCTCAGGTGTCTCTATCGGCGTGAAAAGCTCCCCCAGCATCTCCTGCAGAGGCGAACATTACCATTAAACATACGCACAGTCATTACATTCTCAGCACTGTGATACCTCAGCCCCTGCTGCACTATACCATTATGCTTTTTCTGAACTTGTTTTGACTAGTTTCAGGCAGGTGGCACTAGAGTAGCATCAGGTACGTATGGATACAGTTGTATTAATCTGGCATTAAATTGTTTTGACAGTTTTAGATGGCTGGGAATTATTTCAGGAACATTCCCAATATGCTATATTTTGATGGTACATTTGGATGGTAATTTTTTATATTAAGTTTTTTTTTTTTTTGTTACGTTTGACTAGATCTGACTAATGACTAATAACTAAAACATATTTTTGGAAATGTGAATACACTCTGTCCCCAAAAAGTTGGAATACAACAATTTGTAATAATAAATTGATTAAATACGGCAATCTGGTAATAGAAGAATCTGGATTACTGTTAGGAATTTGTAACAAAAAGTGGTTTTGCCAACTGAATGAGAATGCAATATTAGGACAACCTCCATTTTTACTACAGTAGAGCAAAAAGTAAGAACATAAAAGGAAATATCCAAAGAAAAATCTGTGTTCACCCGGTCATGTATATTTTTGAAAAGTTTCCTCAAAATCTACCTCAAAATCTACATTTTGCATCAAATTCTACAGGATTATAAGGATTATAGATGTGTAATGCAATCTGTAACCCAAGAAATAGCACCAAACGCATTACCATTATGTAGTTCATGTGCTTTTATAGAGCATAATACATGCGAGTACCTCCGCATACCAGCCTACCTGCAGGTTGTCACACATCTCCTGGCTGTATGTAATTCTCTGTATCTCGGTCGGGGAGCTGAGGTACAGAGCCTGCCCCCCGTTGGTGAAGCAAAACGTTCTGGCAATGCGCATGTCCGTCAGAGGTAAGTAATTGACATCCATCAGTGGTCTGAGGCTTGGCAAACTGACAGTGAAGAAAGGAGGAAGAAAAAGTCACCAACATACATTATCAGTACATATTTAAGTAATTGTGTAAATTAATTTGTGATCATTCTAATATAAAAAGGACATAATGTATTAAACACATAAAGCAACACTGTGTATATTTCTGGAGGTGGCACATCTCCTGCATGATCCCATTGGAAAGAAAAAGTTAAATCCATATTTCACAACGTTCCCTATAAAGCTAGATATGTTGACACACTATGAAAGATTATCCAAAGGAACAACATTTCCATGGAAACACACCAAATAAGAGTTAAGTTTGTGGAGATGCAAGCCAGATCTTTTTTTTTAAGTTTAAGCAATAAAAATCATTGAAAAGAAACAAACATGATTTTCTATTATTCTATATTTTGGATAGGTTATGCAACAGAGCTTTCAGTAAAGGTATAAACTATGGTAATAATTAACATGATACCAGGAATAGTGCTAATATTTTCATATCTATACTCCATATCTATAAGTTGAAGTATTTTGTCTACTACTGAACTACTGAATAGCCAATATAAAATCTGATTTACTGTGGCACACTTCAGCAATTCTGTGATCTGTAATTTTGCAAAACGTTTTATCATTTATTTAGCACAAAACCTTTAACTTTATTTATTAATGGTTGATTTGAGTGCAAACATCCCCTTGACAAAATAACTCTGCCTCCTCAAAGAAAATGCTAATAATTTAAATGTTTTTCTTTTTTTCCTTCAGTTCAGTTAAAACAATCTATTTGGAAGCAATGAAAGCTCAAGAAAAACTAACTAATATTTAATTGCGAAGGCAAGATTTTAAACTCTGCTTTTAATGAGTTTTTGGGAACATAATTAAATGTTTATTATGATCTAATTAAAATTGTGGAATTAGCCAAAACAAAAACAGAATTATCTCAATATATAGTCTGGAAATATTCAGTAATGCTGTATAATGTTAATCAGATTGTTTTCAGGTCATCCTAAAGGTTAGCAGTGAAAACTACAATTTAGTGAATGATTGTAAGGATTTGAAAGTCCTTTATACTGGACATCGTAGTCATGGCATTATCTATAATATACCTCTATTCATTTTTGACCAAGAAGTTGGTATATTTCTCTAACTGTGATATTTTACTTATTTACTTAACTGAACTAATTTTTATTATTTTTTTTATTTTTACTACTGTGTCCAAGGAAAAGGGACTAGCTGCAGCTGATGGGGAGTGTAGAGCTCCATTAGCTTCAGTTCCAGCGGGGTTTAATACTCAATTAGCGACCCCTAATCCAAATCTTGACCTTTACCAACTTTACAATGTAGCTATGGTAAATTTGATTTCATTTCATTTTTTGGCATTGGATGTGACATAGTGGAGCTCCTCGATGTACAAATGTCACCAAACCTCCACTCCAGTGGGACTGTCTGAAGTTATTTTCCTTGGCAGCAAATGTCCTAAGCTACATAGTGAAGGTGATTTGTGCTAAGGTTTTCCAACATAATAACATGGCCCAAAGCTCAAAAAAGTCAATATAGCATTGAAAGAACTGTTAAAACAACCTAAGTGTGTACCTGAGCATCATGACGTGCCCGTTGGCACAGAAGCAGGCGAGGCACACACTGTTACAGACAGACACGATGTCCGCTCGGAGCACGAATGACGACTCTGTGATGTTATGGACGAAGAGGCAGGACTGGGTGGGCATCAGGAACACTTTGGCCTGTCTTTCGGAGCAGACCACAGCCAGGTGCCCCTCTCCGCAGGCGTCCTGAGAGGAGGAGGGCGAGAAGTGGACGAGCTTACGTCTCCGCGGCCTGTCGGGGTCTTCTGGTGCGTTCAAGTCCCTCCAGACTTCGTACGGGCTCTGAATGAGAGTTCCCATGCAGTCCAGAAATCCGAAGCGCAACACTGAGCCCTTTAGCATTAGCACTGCTCCTAAAAATATAAAAACAAATGCAATCAATGAAATATAAAACTGCACCAGGGGCGAAAGATTTTTATTAAAGTTGTTTGTTTTTTGTTTGACTTTTTTCCCCATGAGTGCAGCTCAGCAACCTATGCCAGCTTTCCTCTACCTAAGTGGCACATATTTTCTTTTACCATCAATTAAATATTTATGCATTTCACTTTGCTCCCTTACTCTATTTTTAACACAGTTTTGCAGAGTAAGAAGTCTGTGCTGGAAAAGGATCCAAGCATATAGGAAATCCCAGCACGTTATCTTACAGTAATATGGGGAAATTTGGCAAAACATGGGCTAGTCCCTGTCTTCTTAAATCTATGTTTGCTCCAGCTTTATTATAGCTTTAATCAGGGTAGGTTGACAGTTACAAAAATGTTTATCTTGATATGTTTTCAGTAATTCAGGTGACGATTTTCAGACAGTACTTTGATACTCCATTAGAAAAGTTATAGAACACGTTTGTAAATATTGTGGATGGGGTTCAAGTATATCCAAAAAAACAATTCAGATGTTCCAATATGTCTTCCTCCCTTATCCAGGTTTGCTTCGAGTTTGAGTCCAGATTAGTCCTGATCTAGTTTGGTTCTGTTCAAGTCCTGGTTTAGTCCTGGTTTAGTCTAGTCTAGTTTAGTTAGCTCTTTAAGGCTTGAACTAGCAGCTTTCGGGGTTAGTGGACGAGGAAATGAGCTAGTGTTGTTTATAATCAAACAGAAAGTAAATGCAGAGTTAAGGTAAAGTGCAGTTCAAAGAATCAGTTGACCATCAGGCTGTTTTGTTATTACACAGAGCAGCCAATTTGACTTGTAGATCAAAGTGCATGGCCCAGTTTTTAATATTTTACCTCTCTGTTTTCATAACTCTTTGAAGTATCCACTTGTAATGATACCAAGCTGATCTGCTTTCAAACCCACATAAAGTAGCACTTTCATCTCAGTTCCACTTGAAAGTTTGACACGCAACACTCACTATGTAACCCATATTAGAAAATGCAATGTTGAGGCAATACAAGGCTTTTGAAATAATAGCAGGAAATTGGAGGAATTAAGCTACAAAACAGTTGGGGCAGCTCTTAAAAGCTTTGGTCTATTCTATCCAAAGAAGCATCGGATCACATTTATTCAAATTAGACAGACAGGAAAGTTTAAACGGATTTGCTATTTGGATCTTTGTTGTTTTTTGTTGTTTTGAGGATCAGAGGAAATATTAAACCAAAAATCCTACTGTTTGGGGTAAAAATAATATGAAGTAATCCTATCTGAACTCTCTAATACTTTGAAAAAATAAGTTGGATTGATTTTTCAGTGATAGAAACATCTGACCTTTCACAGAAGTTTGATTCACTTTTAATTAAAAAGTTCAATTTGTCCTTGGAGAAAACTGTGTTCTGCACAGTGATTTTATTTCATGTCACATCAGAATCTGAAAACAGAAAGTCCAAATAAATACTTGTGGCAAAGAAGCAACTAAACTAATCATTTTATACACTTACTGATCCCCAGTGGCTGAAATGAGTGTCTTAGATCCCAAGCTGGATCCAAATTATGATTCAGAGGAATATTATATTTCTTAGATACATTTTGTTATATTTATAGATTTGTATAGATTTTTTATTGTCCAGTGTCAGCACCAGTAAGAAACAATTTGGCTATATAAAGAAAACCCATATCAAACCATCATAACAGGAAGAACTAGGCCTGTTACAATAATTACAATATCGACTTATTGTTCAATATATGAAAGCTAGAACAATATATTTAGGGGCTCAGTAGAGAAATAGTAAGGAGATTTCTGCTATTTTTATGTAATACAGTAAGGTTTGAGCTGTAGAGGGATGAAAAAATAAAAAATTCCTGGACAATTTATTAGTTCTTTGTGCTATTTATTTGTTGTGGCTCATGCTTTTTAATGATACTGTATTTAAAATGGTTTACTAGAATTACTCTGTTTTATTATTTATTTATTGTGTCAGTGGCAGAAGTTAGTTTCAATATTATTGTTTATTGTAATATTCCTATGTAGCAATATCAGTGCTTCAAAATGTGTTCATGTGGCAGGCCGAGAAAGAATGTTTATATAAACAATAAGAAATTTAACCAGACTACTATTAGTTTTTTTATCTGGCAAGCGAGAACTACAGACTTTAACAAAACTTTACAAAGATGAGTGGATCTGGAGCCATATCCTCTCTCCCACATTTCAAAGGGCAAAACTTCAAAATTAGAGAGATGCATACTACAGAACGTCAAAAACAAACATGGCTGTTTACACGTAGAAAAAGAGAAAAAACATATAGGACTGACAGACAGCATGGATTTTCTCTGACTCAACATTCGAAGCACCAAACTATTATTTATCTCAGGTAAAAGAAGTGATATATTTTGTTCTGAATGTTAACAAGAATTTTCAAGAGGAGATGTCTTCCACATTTAAGAGGCATGTACTAAAAATTAACAGCCGTGGTTGGATAGTCTCAAGTTTGGATGGAGTTTTTCATGCTCTATTGTCCAATTCTAGACCCTTCTAGATTTGAACAGAATGTAGAAGCTACTGGCTGGTCAGGACACCAAGATGCATTATGTTTATTTGTATGAAAAAAAACATAACAGATGTACAGTAAATATTATTATTATAACTAAAAATGAACTGACCACTTGGCCCCATAGTGACAGACTCCTCCATGCGCTCCTCCTGGTCTGTGGGGACGGACATGGGGATGAGAAGAACCACGCCCAGACTGGTGCCCACCCACAGACATGGCGTGGGCAGCAGGTCATTCTTTCTGGCGTACGATTCCCCAAACTGCAGCGTGGTGATGGCCTCTTTGGTGTCACGGTCGATACTGGACACACTGGAGCTGCGCGAGCGGCTGAAGGAATTCTCACGAGATTCTGTTTTTTTTGGGAAATAAACAAAAACACAACAAGCACAGGACAGGCAGATGCATCAACAGGGAGGCAGTGCATGGGAACTCAAAGTGAAAATATGGTAAATAATAAATAAAACTTATGAAGTATGGAATAAATTAAAGGGGGGCTATGTAAAGTTTTAGGTGGAGGATCTGAAACCTTCTAGTGCCCAGAAAGGTCTACAAAATGGCATATAAAACTGAAATGAAAGTTTAATGCCATATTGTGGAACATTTCAGGCAAAGCAGCAACATTTTCATGAGATAAGCAGTTGGCAGATCCTCCACCAGAAAAGTCACACAGTGCACCTTTAATTAGAAGGAACAAAAACATACTTGTGAAGACAAGAGAGCTAATGAAGTAGTGAAACATAAAGTAATGTAAAATGTCTTAGAATAAAACATAATAGATCCTAAAGCAGTGACTGATGGTAGAAAGTTAATTTATTTCAGTATTTAATTGTGCAAAAGAATCCTATTTCAAGCCTTTATCCATGTGACTGTCATGAAAATAATAGATTTATTTTATTTTCATCCAGCTGCAATTTATCACCAAAACTGAACCTTTGAACAAATTAGATTAAAATCCCCAATTTCATAATAATGACTTTTGCTTGTTAAAATACAAGCTTTTGCACTGTTACTGTAATCATTTGAACACATTTTTTATAGATTTACTGAAACAAACGAACTTTTGCATATTTTCTTTTCACATAAAACTGTGATAGCACTACTGCATGTGACAGGAGGTGACAGAATAGAAATCCCATTGAATAAAAGCACGTGAAAGCAGTCAATGAAGCTAGTCACGCATTCTCCCATTCACAAACTCCTATCTCCTTAAAAATACACATATTTTATAAATGTTCATAATTATATCTACACCCATCAAACCCATTCACTTCTCCATTGTGGACCAAAAGCCTTCGTCATCAAAGTATATTTCTGTACCACATTTTTGAATTATTTAGAGTGAGGCGATGTGCTTTATGTAATAAGTGCAGATGGGTGCAAAGCATGCGTACACATTTTGGACTTGAAGAGATTGTTGAATTTTTCAGTAAGCATCGGTTTATGAAGAAGGCATGGGCTGTATGCAGTGGTGATGAAAGATGTTCTCTACCAGCGTTAAAGGGATTCTACCTCTACTGCCAAAGCCCCTCTAAGGCAGACAGACCACAGGACGGACAAATGTACTGAATCATCCGATTTCCCTGTGTTGCTAAAGAACATATTTCTAACTGTTGTTCCCATCACAGTATAATCACGTCATGAGTATGCACCAAAAGAACATACTTAATTAAATTAAATTGTGGGAGTAAGAGTTTAGCCAATAAGATTTAAGCTTTATATTAAGTTCTTTAGAGTTAAAGGTTAGCAGATTTAATCTTATGATTTTGATTCTAGTTTGGCATTGTGTATCATAGCCACACAATTGCAATAAGCATCACAATTGAGCTGAGCAGTTGGAAATGCCCCAATCCTATAAATATTCAGTATAGGCATTACAATTGTTATTTAGTTATGTATTAATAACTTTTATTATTTATTAATTGATTCATATAAAATCTTTTGAGCATTACGCCACATGGTGCTTACCTTAATGTGCAGAAACAGAAATTTTGACCCTATATAAACACATTCTGTTACCTTTTTTAGATTCAGTCACTTTATGTTGTAACTACTGTATGTCTAGTTAATAATTTTGAATTTTGGAAGATCAATTTAAAATATGAATTCAACATAAAATAAAAATGAATCCATGAAAAAAAAATGACATAATATATTTAAACAGGGTCAATATTTTGTGATTTTGTAACAACAATGCAACACAGAGAGACCAGAGCTTCCTGCACAGTACCAGAGGATGTGTCTTGGCCGCAGCCCTGTCCTTACCTCTCTCACTCCAGCAGTACGGGGTGGAGGTTGTGGTGGTGTGGTGCTCGTCATGGGAGTACATAGTGACTCCATGTAACTGCTGTAGCATTGCCCTCCTGGAGGCGTAACCTACAGTACGAGTATGTGTGTCCCAAACATGAAATGCCAAGCAAAACACACAAAAACCCGCAACCCAGACAGACAAGAGAGGCCAGAACCGCCCCAAACGAACGAGACGCACAAATGAACAGCAGAGAGGGAAGAAAGAGTGTCAAGAGCTTTACGACAATTATACAAAGTTATAGTCCAAAAAGCATCTAGGCTTATTTATGCTTGTCACAACAATGAACACTGCAGGGAAGGCCCCAATTATAAGCAACTAGTCTAGAGCACATGCTGTTTCAAATACAACACTTCTACAAAATTGTTACTCTTAACATCTGAACATTGGCTGACTGTTGAATAAAACCTTATTTTAGAAAGAAAGTTGACCTTAGAAGTAAAACAAAATAGGTATGATTGTTTCAGGGTTACTAGTTTGGAGTAGGTTTATCTTTATTTGAAGGGACAATGTAAGAAAAGCATACAAGTTCTGCATCAGACTATAGCAAATCCAGTAACCTTTTGGAGTCCCTGAATTGAAGGAATACATTTAAAGTTGTGTAGTACTGTTTGTTGACACTATACTGAATAAGAATAACACATTGCAATAAATGTTTTTCTTTTTCAGCTAGATAAATTCAAAACACAACACAAAAACACAACACATTTGTACTGCATTTGACTAATGTGCTGTTAATATATAGTAAAATAAAATATCCCCTACTACTAGTCTACGTTACAGTTGTGTATACACCCAGTGTGACGCAGGTTAAAGTTTGCTGACTAATGAGCAAAACTCACTAGTGCTATAAGAGGAACGAGGAACAACAGGGACCCCAAAGGTCCCTTAGACCAGGGACCCTTAGACCTAGAACAAGACCTGGACCCCAGACCAGTCCCTGTGAGAGGTGTTACAGGAAGAGTGAACATCCCAGACAGTGAGGGACAAAGTGTTACATTCACACCACAACAGTCTGTCAGGACAAGGACAAACTCATGACAATACTATTTTGTTATACCAGAAGTTTGGACACACCTTCCTATTCAATGCTTTTTCTTTATGTTTACTGCTTTACACAATGTAAATGCCTACCGAAGACATGGAATATATGAAGCAAGAGGTTTGGAATTATGTGTCAAAGAAAAAAAGTTAAGCAACTCTAGATATTCAGATATTCAAAACATAAATATACATTTGAAAGGAGCCATAATTTGCTTTGCTGACAGCACCGCAAACCCCTTTCTCTCATTGAGTAAGGAAGTAAGGAAGTCACGTGAAATGGTTTTCACCTCACAGGTGTGCAAAGCAAATGGTAGCTATTTTAAAGAATCCAAAGTCTAAAAAAAAGTGTTATTGAGTTATTCATACTTTTTGTTTACTGTATTGCATATGTGTTCACTCATAGTTTTGATGCCTTCAGTGAGAATCTACAATGTAAATAGTTATTAAAAAAAACAAACAAACAAATAAACAAACATTAAATTAAAAAGTGTGTTCAAACATTTGACTTGTAGTGCAAGTGTTTCAATACAAGACTATTTCTAATCTAATTCTAATTTATCTGCATTGGATAATGGAGAAGTAGCTTCTTCTTTATAACAAAAACAGTAAGACAAAAAAAAGCACTTTTCTTAAAACCTTTTTAGTCAGTTTTGACAAAAAGTTTAACTAGTTGCTCCAAAACTTTTTTTTTTTTTTTTATAAAATACTTCTCACCTAAATTCATTATGTACACATGACACTCGCACCATTTCACATCAAACTAAAACTACAGCTCTGCTATATATTGTGTTGACTTTTCACAGACAGACTTCTCCTGAGACGCTGTGGGACATCTCAATATTTACTGTACACAGGCTAACTGACAGGTGCGCCCCTGCCTCGTCCCTCCCCTGTCTCTGCCTGGTGAGAGTGCCTCATTAGCATTGGCCACACTGCACATTGGCTGTTGACCTTTAATTATTCCCGTGATCCTGCTGGCTGCTCACTGTGCTAACTTCACTGACGAGATAAACAAGTGGGCTGTACAGGCTCATTTCACACAAACAGGTATACAGTGTCATTAAAGGTTCACACTGTGCATTTTAGAGTACGGAGTTAAACCAAATTAATGTCAACAATCATTAAGTAAACACATTAAAAAACATCAGTTAATGTATTGTAGTCTATATTTGTAATAAAGTTGGAAACCAAAATTTGATGAACAAAAGCCTTCTCATTATTTTGATATTTGAACGGTTTTTAAAGCAACATTGCCTAAATTTCTGCATGATTTCAGGGAAAGAAAGTTAAAACCATACATCGAAAAATTCTCCATATATAGATCGATAGGATTTATGCCATATTGTGAACATTTCCATGGAGACAAGCAGTTCCAGGAGATACGAGCCTGCATGTAAGGATACATGTTGTTCTGTTTTTCAGTGCAATAAAAATATCCAAAGTAAAAAACATGAAAAATAGCTAAAACGTTAAATGGTGGGGCATTAAATAATGAAACTAATATTATATGTTTTCAGCTGAGTTGGGTATAGTCCAAGCATCTGTGTGTCGGTGACCTATAGCAATTTAAGATTTTAGGCTATATACAGGTCTTCATTTTACTAATCACAATCACAGTAATGAGAAAAATCACAATACTATTTTTTTTTCTAAATTCCTACTAGCCCTACTTCACAGTGACCTTCTTCTCATCATATCATGTAAAAGTTTGGACACATTTCCTCCCTGGGGCAAAAACGTTAAAGTTACACCTCTCCACTTTAGGAGCAGAGGGACAGTATCAACCCTAGACTTTAGAAGCTTTTCAGACAGATATCCTTAAATCTCCAATAGACTTGCCTGACTCTGCGGACTGCCAGCTACTCGACACCACTGTAGCAACAGCTATAATGGTGTCAAAAGATCACTCTGAGCTTTAGCTAGCACATACGCCAACACTGTCCAACGACAAGCTAAAGACAGTGCAGCCGGAGACATGGTGTTGTCATTAAGGTGGACTC